GGTTCATTGTGCTCGTTATGTAGGCAGAGTGAGCCGGAGGCTGCGTTTGTCCTTGCTGTTGCTGCAAAGAGCCGGCCACAGTGACCCCACCAGAAGCGGATGATACGGGTGGGGCAGTGGCAGCATGAAAACCCTGGATTTGATTGCCGGCATGCAGAAAGTAGTTGGCCGGTGGGAAGATGGAAGCATTGGCTGTTGGATATACAGCTCCACCACTCGTCGTAACCGGATAAGACAATGATGCAAACTGAGTAGCCTGTGGTGCAGAAGACAGAAATAGTTGACTCGAGTTTGCGGGTAAAGCGACACCAGCACTCATAGAAGATTCAGTTGACCGTTGACGAGAGATACCAACAACCGCCTGATTGCTTTGTGGCTGAACTGGCTGATGCTGAATATTATTTCCCCCTTGCTGTTGTGACTTTGCAGTGGCCTGAGGCTGCTGTTGTTGAGACAACAAAGCGTAATTAGCGTGAGCAGGAAGTTGACCACGTGGAGACTGCGCAATCAATGCGTGCGGAGACATATGTTGAGGAAGGAGTTGCGATGATAAAGTATTGGCCAATACGCTAGCGAATGGCGTACCCTGATGAGAGTGCTGTTGGTGCGGAAACATTTGAGAGAATACAGCGTTTGCTGTAGGATGGACAGCGGGGAGAGATTGGCCATTGCAGGTGATCGGAAAAGGTAAACCAGCAGCATGCGAGGCGGCCAACATATTTAATTGACCTGTAGGAGCCTGTGGAGCCGTATTGTGATGCAAGGAGATAGATGCTGGAAGCCCGGTGGGATGAGTGGGTAATTGAACATGGGAAGGGTATAGATGATGTGGACCTGTGGGATAAAATGCTGCAGGATTCATAGCCATTGTCGAGTGCGGCAAAGTAGCAGAGACCGGGATAGAAGTCGGAACTGAGGGAAGTAAACTGGCCGGGAAAAGAGACGTGGCGACAGTGGTAACAGGAAGACCTGAAGAAAGTACGACAACAGGAGAACGTGAATGGCACAGATGGAGACAATTATAAGTCGGTTTAAATTCAGGAGCATCTGGATTAAGGGTCGATTTCTTAATCCGTTCTTCTAGAGTATTATCGACAAGTGATGAGCTGGGATGTTCGGAAGTCTCATTTTGGGCTGGACTAATTGGTTCGATAGGTACCTGTTCCTCATTATGAGGTGTGTTAACTGTATCAGGAGCCTTTGAGACAGCATCAGCAATCTGCTTATTGTCGGGTATTGCAGATTTTGCATCAGATCTTGGGGAGGAATCCAGTAAAACAACCTTATCTTGTTTGTTCGATAATTTTGGAGGAGTATTTGAACTCTTTACAACGGGAACACCTGAGTGCGATGGTGGACCAAGAGATGAGCCACTTGTGCTATTGAGCTGAGGGGCCTGCTGGCGAATATTAGAAGATTGGGATTTAATAGAGTTATCCAGTGAAAGATGCGAGAAGCGTCTTGTGATTTCTAGCCCGCCACGGCCAATACTCCGGACACGCATGCCTCTCAAGGGTGCAACATCGATCTTCTGGTCCCGTTGAGGAAAAGTTGGATTAATTCGAGCAACTGAGCTGAATTTGCTTTCTTCTGATTCCAGCATACTGTCAGCCACATCATCCAGTTGAGCCTTAGAATTCATCTCATTCCCAAACTTTTTGGCTAGTTCGGTACAATGGGCTTCTAATCTATCGAATTCTGGTTGGGATTTATCAACGGGAACACTACAATATTCAAACTAAATTAGTACACAGGGAACATTAGAATAATTCACAAGCAGAAATAGACTTACGTATATCCATCTAGAGAAGAATCGTAGGTTGTAGATATTTGGTATAGCTTTTTATTGGTATCGAACATTTCGCTGGTAGGAAATCCGTCGTGTCCATCGAGCTCGCACTCTTCAGGTTTATCAGTATCACTGAAATAAGGATGTAGCCCTTCTGGAGAATTTGAGACAGCCCTACATGGACGTGAAATTTCCTCATCAATTTTCATATCTAAAGCTTAAAAGTAAGGTAGAAAGAGCTCAAACCGTTAGATCCACCATTTGGTTTAACACCACGAATTATAAGCCATTTAATATCGCTCATCGACAAAATTTTAAGTTTGTCAACCTTGAAAGGCTTGCCCTTGCCGTTAAGAGGTCTAGTAAGCGCATAACTTAACCCAATATCACCCTTAAAAATATATGAACTCTATGTTTACCGAAGGCGAAAGAGCTCGGATTACGCCTTCAACGATCGTTTCGTCACGCATAACGACTTCGGCAATCTGGCCCTATAGGTTGTTTTACATTGGTGAGAATAAAACGGTACTACCATCAAGTGTTTGCAAAAAATATACACGGCCTCAATGTTAGAGAGTATGCCGTAATTATCGGCAGCGTTATTTCCCTAAAAGAAAATTAAACCATAACAAATATAAGCCCAACCTGTATTCCCATGTGTTTTTGATAATTTTGAGGGTAATGTGAAGAGCCTCTATTCTTAGAACTAGAGAAATCAAAATGAATGTAAAAAGATCATACCGCACGGACTGCTTGCCCTTTGGCCTATTCATGTGTCCTGACATTGCGCTATCTAAAAAGTAAAAAAATTAAGTTATTAACAATAAAAACGAGAAAGATAAGGAAATAAACACTAAGACCGAGGTCACATGGATAATCGATGGGCTGACCGCAAGAGGCTAAGTTCAGTCGGATGTTTACCGCGGAGATAACTTAAAACAAAATTTGGTTTAGATAATTTGATTATAATCAACATATAAGATTAACGATTTTGCATTAGATTATTTTTGTAAACTTTAATATAGTCTTATTTTGCTCTTTTATTACTTGTATTGAATGTTAGCAGATATTCCTACAGATGCCATGTGAAGTTATCAGCCAAAAAGTTCTTTTGTATTCAAGAAGTATATTACATGTATATGATTAATATTACGGATATACCATTATTTATTCTGATAGAATTACTGTAGCAACTTATAACAGGTTGTAGAATAAAGAATGTTAAAAATGCATGCACTATTTCGTTGGTAAAGGACTTGTATTTATGTGTATTCCTGCATTGTTGTGTCATTTATTTTAAGGCTGCCTTGGTTCCACTTATTAAGTTTATTCTTATGCTTTAAATATAAATATTTAATGATATTTTTCTGATAATCCTAAAGATATTATAACTTTATTTTTCAAATGTGTACATAAATATCCTAATATTTTATCTAGAAAAATTCAAGTTAAGTAAAATACTTAAAGACCCAAAATCCAATATTTTATTATTTTTACTGCGCAAGATGCAATCTTAACCATTATTCAAATTCTAATCCTAATAACTTTAAAGGAACATTTGTTACATGTAATAGCAAATATTGAATGTTCATAGTAAACACTAGAACCTAAAATGTATCCACTAGACCTCCATGATGTTTGGAGTTACCTATTCACTAGTTCACACACTTTATTGATAAATAGTTTTAATATATGAAATAACACCGTAATGAAACTCGACATCTCTGTGGATTCTGTCGAAGTTACATATTGAAACATATTTATAAGTATAAATGTAATATAGTCTGTAATATAAATGGGGCTAAGTTAACAATGAGGTAAATTATTATATTAATAAATTCTTATAAAAATAGGAGTCTAAAATAAAAATTTTATTAAGTTTTGGAGATTTAATTTATACATTTATACAGAATATCGACTCTTCTCGCAGACCAATTACTTTGTATATCGCCTTTCATTTTGTGTACATTTGCGTTAAATTCGGGATGACAGTAAGACATATGAAGAATAAAGATGATAAATATGAGAAGAGTGAAATATTATTGTTTACCTTAAGCTTAATATTAGGAAGAAACACTATGTCTTCGATGTATAATCGCATAATCCTGCCTAAGCATGAAAATTAAGGGAAATGCTAAAATGCTTAAATAAGCTCATAATTTAATGAAATAGTCAACTTAATTAGATAGTAAATCAGCAGCAATATTTACTAAATAAAAATATTATATATACCTAGCTATGAAACAAATTTATTTGAGCCATATGTACATGTGACCTAGCGAAAGTTGAACGATAGTGATCAAAAGTGAAAGAAAGATGTTATTGA